GAGAGAGAGAGAGAGAGAGAGAGAGAGAGAGAGAGAGAGAGAGAGGATTATACACGGCGCAGTTGTACGATCGCGACCACGATCGTGTTGTGGCGGTAATTACCAACTACGTCATGAATTGCGTGCTCATTTTCGATCTTTTCACGCAAAGCGACCGCCATTACCACATCGATTGACATCGCCTTCGCATTTCACGGGTCTTTTGTTCATCGAAAGTGAGTCTCACACGTAAATGAGAATATCAAGAGTATCGAGAATAACGATGTGCGATCGTCAGAACGAATTGTAAATACGTTATTAAGGAATAATCTTATTGTTGTACATGCAATATTGTCGTGCTTGTGCTTGTCGCAACATGTCGAGTCGGCATCTTTTATACTTGCTGTTACCATAGACTCGCTCAAGTAGCAATAGATTCGGTTGGATGTCAGATTTATTAACAGATAATTAGAAATGCGATGACAATCAGAGAGAAAGAGAAAAATAAAATGATGTCAGAAATATATGCGACAGCAATTTGTATTATTAGCAAGGGATGTACACTCAGTCCCACTTTACCATTGAATTGAGTGCACAACACTGCACACTGAGTGCAAAACGCATTATATGATTTTGTTTATTTTGCCAATTATTGCCTTTCTACATATGATACAACTATCGCGAGTTAAATACAGATATTAAATGGAAAGAGATAGCAAAATTGTAATAAGTTATAATAATTCTACAGCCCTACACACACATTTACGTGTATTTATAAAATATAATAAATAAACAGATTTTGCTCTGCAAAATTATAAATCGTAGTGAACTTTTTTGCGTTAATAACAAGTCGAGATAACTGTGGACTTATTCAAATTTGAAGTTCATTAGACATTTACGAAAAACAACAAAGAGATGTGAGATAACCTTTGGTTTACGTGTATTTTACAATTTTCAGTTTACGACTTGAAGTATCCAGTCGCTTAGGAAGACAAAGCCGACAAAGCAATATCACTATGCCGTTACTAACGTCGAAGGACAAAGCCGGAGCAGCACCATGGACGGACGGAGATGAATGATGGTGAGTTTAGTTTAGCTTTATCGCTTTATAACACTTCCGGCGATCGGACTGCGAAATCAATAAAAACCGATTTCACTTCCAATCCCTTGTAAACTTTACGTCGAGAACGACTAGACAGGGGAATGTGAAACGGCATGAGAGCAAAAAGAGAGCAAAAAAAATGCCAAGGGACGGAAGAAAAACTAATAACCTGTCGGTAATATTATATATACGTGGGAATGAACAAATTTTTACGATGCACCCTCGTCCTTTGGAAAAAAAAGATTGTAAGATCACGTTCGCCGAAAGTTCTCATCCGCTTTACAATTCCGGTTTTCGTGCTCGCGCTGCTTGCGGAAAAATTGGATGAGATGCTGAGTAATTACCGGGGGTTGGGAGGGAAGTGGGCTGAGATGCTTAATGAGGCACACTTAAGGTCGAGCGATCGTTGTCTCGTATATTACGCCGGCAATTTAGATGCCGTCGATGGGTGCGCCGTATACGACGAGAGAGTGGCACACCGCTCGTCTGAAGTTTTCAGAAATTTGCACAGACTCGATGCCGACGAAAAGTACTTGTCGCGACAATGTATCTGTTCCTCGCGACGTTCAGGAGCGAAAAGATTCAGGGATTAAATTGAAGACTTTAACTGAACGATCTTCAATTAGGTTTGTCGAAAATCGTTAATTAAATGTTTCTCGATTGTCTATTATAGTTGTAAGAATATCAATTAAATTTTTCTTTTTAACAGTTTAATAATTGACAAACGTACTTTAATTCAACGAATTGACGATCGATTCAAGTAAAATCAATTGAGGAACATTTAATTGATAATTGATTTTAACGAATTTAATTGAAGACTGAAGATTTGTTTTGAAATTTTACTTCAAGAAATTTATAGAATAATTAAGACTATTATGTCTTCTATTTGTGTATTCAATGATTCTACGATTAATTCTGTCTCATCGGAAGAAATTTGAAATAATCTCTTTATTTTTTGTCATCTAAATTCGGTTGTATTTCGAAGCTTCATGACGCAAGGGATACATTTTGACGAATTCGACTGAATTTGATGAAAACGATGTCTTCGATTGAATTTAATGAAAACAATTAAAACGGTCCATTAAAACGGTCCCCAATTAAATTGGCTCATATTAATTGTCAATTACAACACGATAAAGTAGTTTATTCGTCGTTTGTGTGAATTAGAAAAGTAATTAATTATTCGCAATCGGTATCTACGTGCGGAGCAAGTTGAGATAAGTTAGAGTTCCGTAAACAGACAGAGAGAGAAACGTAAACAGACGAGAATGACGCGTAGGTTTGCCGGCGGCAAATGAAAATACGGGTTTTAATTCGCGTGAAAAGACGACCGGACCCGTTATGGCTGCTATTTTTCGTTTATTACATCTCATGTTCGATATTTGGATATATTAGGTAAGGACGAATATCGCACGAAATATGTTTCGCTCGCGCGCATAGCGTATATATTCGGAAATATAAAAAAAGAAATTGGGTATGAAGTCTGGATAGACGTATCGGAAGATACATATTTCATCTCGAAATATTTTATGCCGCGAGATGCACCAAATGCGACGAATAAATAGGAAATCGCGAATCGCGAGGTCTCGCTCGTCTATCCCTTGCGTCATGGGGCTTCGAAATACAGCAGAATTTAGATGACAAAAAATCGCTGGGACAAAAAATAAAGAAATTATTTCAAATTTCCCTCGATATAACAGAATTAATCGTAGAATCATTGAATACACAAATAGGGGCATAATAGTTTTAACGTATTCTATAAATTTCTTGGAGTGAAATCTCAAAACGAATGAAAAGTGGCAGTATTTTCACTTGGCGATAGTAAAAATGTTGCCACTTGAAACCACAAGAGTGAATGTTTCACTCAAGAACATTCTGACTCCATATGAACGAATGTTTCAATCGATTGGAGCGAATATATTCTTCTGGCGGTGGTATACATTATATTCACTCTATAGGAATGAAAAATAGCTTGAATTCGAGTGACTGTCGATCTACATTTCCAGGGAAATTTCACTTTTTCCAAAAAATTTAGAGAGTACTACACTGAGAGAAAATATGCCTAAAAAATAAAAAAGTATTCATTCGGTAAGTATACTGAAAGAAAAACATATCTAAAAAATAGTAATTTATTTAGTAAATATTAATAATATATCTATTTCAATCTAAATTCTTTTATTTAAATAAAATAAATATTTGTTTTTTAAAAAAAACTAGGTTTTCTTACGGTTTCTAAGAAAATGTATATTTTCTTATTTGGAAAATATGTTATTATTGTAGATCCACTGAGAATATTTACTACTTCTTAGATATTTGTTTTTCTTAATGTACTAATAATATTTGCTTAAATCTAAATTCTTTTATTTAAGTAGAATAAACAATTGCTTTCAAGAAAAGCTAAGGGGTTTAAGAAAAATAAATATATCTTCTTATTTGGAATATATTTTATATTAATATAAGTAAAAATTATTAGTACCCACCAAATAAATATACTTTATTTCTAATATATTTTCTCTCTCAGTGTAGATTTAGTTGCAATTCGATTCTCTTAACGCAACATGTCTATATTGCACATATTCGTGCAGTTTTAAGGCTACTCACTAACAGTCATTATGCACGAATACATAAAAACATTGTGCGTAATCGAAAAATTCGATTATAGTTACTTAAATTATGTTGTAGCCTGTTAAATGTTATGGCTGTTATGCCTGATTGTATACAACAGGAGAAAGCTGTTAAACTCGTTCTTCTCACTCACGAACAAGACACAAAGCAACGTTACGCTTATAGTACTGACCGACAATTACCGATCGATTGACTCGATAATCTCGGCAATATCACGGTATCTGACGAAGAAAGAAGAGTGCGCAACCGCACGCTCGTCAAGTAACATTGTGGAAAGAGGTAAGCGCGTCACTGGGAGGATCTATTCAACGTGACACGTGGAGTCGTTATTTCACGGGAAACCAGAGAGCACCTGCGGCTTCGACCGTCGGTCACTTCCTGTATCAGCCTGGGGGTAACCAGGTTAATCCTCGATTGACCCTCGTACACGCAGGTTGGACCTGTCCGGAGGGGAAAAAGGGGGAGAGTGTACGGAAGAGGGAGTGAGACGAATTCCGGTCCGGCACGCGACCAGACCGCAGAGAGCAGTGACAAAAAGGTCTTGTCTCTCTTTCTCTCTTTTCATCTATCTCTCTCTTTCTCTCTGTTTCTCCCTTTCGTACACGTGACACATGCACGCGTGTGTGGATGACTCCTTAACATAACTTTCTTCGCGGCCCATAGAAAAGGTGGTCCCTCCCGCGCGAGGGTCTATGCCATGAACGATGGGCGACTCTTCCTCGGCCCTTTGCCCAAGTCCTGGGCCTTGGCACGGCAGGTTGTCGATAATCCGCTACGAGCTGTCGACCTTCGCGTCGATTCGCGCGCGCGGATGTCGGATCGCCGGACGCGATAACGTTATCGAAATTATATCTGACCCAACGTAGACGTAAGCTCATAATGAGGAACCGTTTGCCAAGAAAGAAACAACGACCGAGAGATGCGCGCCTCTGCAGATACGTGAAATTCGTCCTGATATTAACTTTCCGCGTGCAAAGTTGGGTCTGTGCGACCCGACAGAATATTCGATCGCTCACCAACTTCCGCGAGTAGTCCAGGAAATTTGTAAAATAGCAAATCTATTTGCAGATTTTGCTTTGCTATTGCGTTACTCTCTGAGCTGAGACTTTTCTGTATCTTTGGGGGAAAGTCTGTATCTTTGGGTGTGTGTAAAAGAATATCGATTTTCAATGAAGTTACGGTAATTCAAAGTTACTTGATAGATCTAGATTGTACTATATCTCGCAAAATATGATTATACGAGAGGATTGATGATACATACAGAGAGAATATTTGGTATGATTAAATGCGATTGCTTCAGTTTCTTTTATCAAGATATGTCAGCTTTTATGTGCTTAGCACTGACTTTAGTATCAAATGACTGAACCACATTTGACATGAACGTTGATCATTAATATAACAATGTAATCATTGATACAATCACTAACGATTATTATAATTATTGATAGATAACTGCAATTTCTACATCGAGAGAAAAAATATTTATAAAAATGAAAAATATTTATTCGGTTGGTATTAATACACATTTGCTTAAATCTAAATTCACCTATTTAAATAGAATAAATACAAATAATTTTGTGAAAAGCAACGATTTTAGAAAAAAAATATATATCTTCTTATTCGGAAAAAATGTTTTTTTTTTAACGCAGAAATATGTATAAAATATAAATAAATATGTTATCAGTATTCATCGAATCAATAATTATTATTTTCTAGATATTTCTTCTTTAACAATAATAATATCATTTATAATCGCTGAGAACGGGAGAAAAACGCGAAGAAACGCGCACAATACGTCATATCAGATATAATTTCTCGAGGATAGACTACTTGTCGTGGGTTATGGTACAACTTTATGCCATAATCGAGGCTTTGATACGATACTAATTTTATACGGATACACTTGCGGACGTGTAACGCGATAGTTTGCCTCACGTAAACTTCAGGTTTCCGACAGGGAGAAAAGGGCGGCTACTGCCCTTCGGCGTCGCCCTCAGGTCGAAACGACAGGTTGTCGATAAACACAGGTACCCATACGTCGTCGTAGTGAACCACATCGACGAACGCTTCCGGCCTCGTCGTCATGGCACAGTGTTCCGTCTACTTTTGGGAATACACTAGCGTGATAACGTATATAGTTCGACCCTTATCGAGCGGCTGTTTGCTGTTCGATCAATTTTACAGCTCGTCGCCTGGACAAATAAAGGCTTCTCGAGTTCTTCGTGAAGATAACCACAATTACCAAGATGAAATCATAAAACGCACATTTACATTGTATCTATTCCAAAAAATATAATCTTATTCTTAGAAGATATCCTATTAATATATGGTCTCACAACAAAGGTCTTCCTAAAAGAAAAAAAAATTCTAAGCACAATTTAGCATAGTGGCAAGTGTAGTTCCTTGCCTACGTGTAGTTAAATTTAAAGGAATTCCATCTTTTATCTACGATATAAATCTTAATATCTACGATAGATATCAAGATTTATATCGTACTTCTAATACTTTTTAATAGAAGTTTCTTCTGGTGAAAAGGCATTTTCTTTTTAAGTAAAACTTAAAAAGGAAGAAAAGAAAAAAGAAAAAAAAATTTAAAAGAAAAAAAGAGGAAAAAAGGTAATATCTGGTAGATTTATGACTAATAGTTCATGCTGATAAGAGAGAAGTATTTTTTTGGTAAGCATTTTTGTTTAGAATTTAGGGTTACAAGGAATAACATCTTACAACTAAAGTTTTTTTCTCGGTGTTAGAATAGTTTCCTTTTTAGGTTTGGTTTTCCTTAGTAGGTTTGGTTTAGAAGAATTCTTATTATATATATAGGAGGAAATATATAAGAATTATATATAAAAATATTATTTTTTTTATTGTTCCACATTATAAAGTAAACTGGAGTATGATGGCTATATGGAAAAAATAGCCATAAACTGTAATTTCTCCAATAATTGCTAAAATAGTGCGCTTTTGTAGTCATTCTTAAAGATAATCGATATTTACAGTGGTTTATGTGCGTTAAAAATTATTTAACAATTGTTAGAGAAAGTTACAGCTTATGACTATCTTTCCTATAATCATCATACTCAAGTTTACCGAAATAAAATACATTTTGTATTTGAATAAAGATAGTTTAATGTTTTTTCGAGCTCACACGGTCATTACTCTGATTTTGTTTACTCACAAAATGACAATATTGCCTTAGAGAGAACTATGGTAATATCAACAAAACGAAGATATCTCCCGAGATTTCGAATGTAAATTACAACGCTCGCATCTCGATTTCTACCTAAATTGGATTTACGTTACCCGTTTCTTCGACGTAATTTATCGTGCCGGAAGGTCGTGGAGGAAAGTTGTTTTATATTTACACGTCGCATGTACACACGCACATTCACACACATACACACATACGTATACACGATTCGGTGAACGTAAAATATTCCAATAAACGGCATCGAGCTTCGGGGGTTGATTTAACGTAAAATCTCGCGCCGCGAGGAAACGTTCGCATTCCCATGAAACCAGGCGGTGTGATAGAAGGAAAAGGGAGGGAGATGCATTCTCGCGGAATGTAGGTCAACGATTCAACCGAGTCCCGAGGATATCCTGCCTGTAGATCGGCGGGAAGAAGAGGAAGGAGCGCAAAGTGCGCTCATGAATGAGGAGCCCCGAGGACCTTATCCAAGATCCCGTGCACTTGCGTCCCGCTACCGCCCCCCGGAGACACCCCCTTCCGGCTCGACGATTTTATGGGGTTGCCGACCGCCGTGGCGAATACCACGACGAGTGTCGTCTTAAATTGCCGAAGCTCCGCCGTCTCCTTTTGTTCGCGCTCCCGATGATCGCATGTACAAGAACAACACGAGACTGCGATAATTAGGGGATGCAATAACAACTGGAATATTGTGAGAGCAATTGCACGAGCAATTGCGTCGACGTTTTTTCCTAAGCGAGATGTGTCGGTGGCTTCGATTGGAAAATGACGTCCCGTCGATTTTCAAGATTACTTGAGTTACTGGAAATTTAAGATCGTGGAAAAGAACTCGCGCTAATTCCTTTTTCTATGGACGACGAGCTCAACTCGGAGCAAAACTTCAGCTCAGCGTCGGTCGAATGACGTTAACTATGCAACGCAAATACGCGTTTTAAAGTTTTATCTCGATAATCGCGGTCTTTATTATCTTTGTGAAAAATTCGAGCAACCTTTATCTGCCATTAAATAAATAACATTAAACAGCCATTCGATAAAGATTGAATTATATACGCTATCGCTCTGGTGTAACAACGAAAATTATTAATTCCTATAGAAAAAAGATTGACACTGAAGTTTATAAAAAGTATTATCCTTATTATATTGATTTTCTCTTAAATTGTTAACGACGATACGCCTATCATGTTAAAATATAAAGCCCGTTTTACTTTGATTCTACAACGTTTCCGTTTTTCGACGCGCGACCGTTTTCTTTTCCTTCCCCTTATATTTTTCCCTTTTTTTATTTCGGATTCTCTGACATGTCTCTCTCGTCGAAGTTTCCTTCAGCCAGCGAGCAGTTTCGTTTCCACGTCCATCAAGATTTGCCCATAAAACGGATCTTCTCGTGACAATACGCGCGAGCCTTTTTTCTACGGCGAAGCGGATTCCTTTAACCAGGCATAAGCAACCCTCTTCGCGGAACACATGTGCGTATACGTGTGAACGAGAGAGAGAGAGAGAGAGAGAGAGAGAGAGAGAGAGAGAGAGAGAGAGAGAGGAGAAAAAGAGAGATGGTGCGTGAAATAAAAAGAGTGAGAGGGAAAGAGCAAGCGAAACGAACGTATTTTTGGGAAAAAGGATTTCGTGGGAACTAGGGAGAGCAAGCAAGAGTTGGATTTCGTGAAGAGGAGAACACCGTCTGTGCGTATTTTGAGGATAATCGGCGATGCGACAGGAGAGAGAGAGAGAGAAGCACAGGAGAAATAACGGCAAGGGGGAGGGATGAAATGATCGTTTCATCGCAGATTTTTACGGTTTCAAGGTGAAACTGGGTCTCTTAGGGCACGTCGAAGGAAGAATTACAGCAGAGTGTCGGAATGACAGGATTGATAGTCGCAGCGTGTCGAAGAAGGGTTGAGCACGAACGCGCAAGGGTTAGGGACTATAGAATAAACGGTAGACGATGATTTTAAGACCACGTATTTCGTAAAAAGGGATCACTTTCGGGGAAAGTAACTTTTTTTCTACTATTTATCGAGAGTAGATCGGTATCGACATTCTTGCGGTACGTGAAGAAGTGGAAAATTCTTTCTCACCCTTCGATTGTAAAATTCCTTCTTCAGACATGTCTGCGTGCGCGTGTGTCCAATAAAAAAAAATCACGCCGACACAAAAGGTTGTTGTTTTTTTTATTGTTTGTAAAATCGTAGAAGAAGCCTTACCACAATTCTAATTTTGCTGGGGGAAAACGTTACAGTATGATAGCGAGCTGAATTGTAAGAATCCAAACAATTGAATTTATATTTTGCAACTATGCAAATCATGAAAAAAGTATTTCACACACACATTATTGTTGCCCCCTTTTTTTACATAAAACCGATCGATGATTTCAGTCTTGCTGCGAGTCGTTGATTACTTCGATAGTTGACGTGATCAGCTGTTGTCGTGAAGAAATTATGCATTTTATCAATTTGAATGTTAAGGAGAAATCAAATACTATATGATCATGTATGATGTTAATGTTACAAAATAAAGAACAACAAATTAATGAATAAATAATATATTGATGAGCGATAGCAAGATTCCCAAATCTTAATAGAACTATCAATTTTTATTTCCATCGATTTAAAAAAAAGAGATATTCTATTCATGTATTTAACCAGGAAACTTACTATTTGTTTCAGATGACAAAGATTACGGCCACACGGGAGATTCTGTTTTGGTGGATGTGAATGTTGTACCGGAAGATCCGGTTTGGGCTGGATAGAATCAACTCGAAGGTGAGTGTACAGATTCCTGTATTCTTTTAGATTAGTCCTTCGCGGTTAAAATTTGAGATGTAGTTGTCTGAGTTATCGAAATAAAGATCGTCAAATTGCAATTACAAAGGATTAACGAACGCGCATTTGTTTTTTAATCGGAATTCTTAAATATCGGAACTATTAAATCTAATCAGCAATGTTATAACTTTTTTGTTTCAGAACGCGGTCGATTTTGTCTTTCAGTAAGTGAGAAAACGGGTTTTTTAAAAGGTGGTGGTTTTAAGGTGGCGGGTATTCATAAGAATCGTTGAAATTGATGTGATTTACTTATAGATTTTTGCATGTTATGTTTTTGCATTTTTATACTGAGAGAAAATAATCTCACTAAAATTATTATTTTTTATGTCAACCATAGATCTTTTTGTGGTTTAAACCAAAATTAATAGTAGCAATATATGTGTATATTAGGTTATTATTAATGTCATAATAGCATTTACTACAAAAATTCTTTTCCTATAATTATTTCACTGTGCACACACACAATTATAGTCACAGCCATTACCAGACATTTTTTCTCAGTGTATATACACTGCTATATACAGTTGCTATATACGAAATATACTGTTCAAAATAATCAGGAGATTATATCTTCAAATCCGCATTTTTTAGGAAATATTTCAATAATCAGACAACACTTTGTTTAATCTTGTGTGAGATTTAGTAAACGTATATACATAAAAAAAAAAAATTGAGACTACCCACTGCCAAATTTTTCATGTTATTAGTACCTGCAGAGTAAACATTTATTTTCTGGATATTTCTCCCTTCAGTATAACATTAAAATTCCGAGTTCAGATACATTTAGCGCAGTACCAATAGCGCGCAGTAAGATGTTTGTACTATTTAGTTCAGAGCAAAAATTTTAAAGCTGAAATTTGTAATTAATTTTGATGAACGACACATAACATTTTCTAACAAATCTCGCATGAGTAAATCGCAATTTTCGACAAAGATACGAAGCATCTTGAAATTTCAGCGACCCTTTGAAATTTCCACGATTTCATGTGCGTACGAGAGAATACGTTTGGATAACTATACATGCACAATGCGGAAGCACGAGTATATATCCGTTCGTTAATGCGCGAGCGTGACGAAGACGAGCAGGGTAAAATTCTATTGTGAAGGAAATCCGTTGTTTGCTCGCAGATTTGGCGAGTAGCTGATTGGGATTTTCGACCTCTCCGGGTTCGAGTATATGGATTGCACATGGCGCGTCGTTTTTTCGTAACGATGACGTGTTTGCGAACTCGAGAACGGAAACGATGTGAAGGCGGTTTTTCTCTTTAAAGAACCGAAATATGAGAATGGATTTCTTTTTAAAAATACGAGGGAGCGACTCTTTCCTTAAAATTTCGAAGGAATTCTCGTAGAAGATCAGCGCGTGCGGGACATTTATATAAAAAACATTAAATACTTGCAGTTGTAGAATCGAAAGTACTTCGTCAAAATTTTACAACGAACTCAGGTGCAATTGATCGTGACGATTGTTTTATGCAAAATTCACGTAATTCACAAAATTACGAATTCGCTTCACGCAAAACTTACGAAATCGTGGTTTCGCAACTGATACACGTGATTCTTTGGCATTTCCACGACTTCACATATATATTCTAAGCCTTTGAAAGAATAGCCTTCCGTGGGAAACTCATAAAAAAACGAAGAAAAGAAAACTTACCGAATTGCCGAATTAAGTACTTAATAACGTCGCTCAACTATATGTGGATCCTCCTCTGCTCGCTGTGTAAGTTCAACAAAAGAGAGAGAGAGAGAGAGAGATCACCCCATCGCCAGGTTTATTTAATACAAAGCTGGCGGCGTGTGGGGTGGCGCTCGGCTGCCGCCAGCTGTGGGTGCGGGGGTGGCGACAACCTGTTGAGTCAGACAATATCGCGTTTTTACTAATGCTACATCGTCGTCGTCCCGACACGAGGATCAAGGGGGTGGTTGCATTTTTGCCGCGGTCTCAGCCAAGACCCTAACTCGGGATCATTATTATCGAGCCTCGTATTATTAACCCCAAAATATCTGCAAATCCGCGGGGTTGGAGAGTGTTCTCCGCGTCGAGAATCTCGTCAGATGACGGGAGTAAATAACGTATTTTTGCTGCATTTAACGTTGGAGAAAACTGACGGGTGTACCATCGTCGCGATCGTAAAAGAGCGATCGTGTCGAGCCGCGGTCGGGATTTCATCGACCCTCTCTTTCCTTCTCGGCACGTGTGTATAATGATATTTGTTTGAATTCATTTCAAAACATACATACATGAGAGAAGAGTGTGTACGATACGATTTATAACACAGTCTCGTCTTTGACTTCCTTTCTTATTAAAATTGGTTACAAGTAAGAGGATTACAGACATTAAATCCGTCCAATAGAAGTACGACACACATCACGTAACGTATTTCCGTAGCCTGACAACTGTTAAGAAACTGGAGAGGAAAATACTGACTAAAAAATTAATAATAAAAATGGTAATTAAAAATAAAGCTACAACTATCTCAATAATCAATGAATTTACACGTGAAAAGTCTCTACCTTCTAAAACACGATTTTCACAAGTCGCCCTTTCTACTTGAGTTATACGTTAGAGGAGCAATCTTGTGTACTTTTAAAATTCAAGTAGTAAGATAACGTTAAAGGACGTATTAATACGTAATATAACGTAACTAATATGTCGTTAAGACGGCTTTAGACGTTGTCTTATTACCTAAGAAAAATATTGTATAGACTAATCGCGATTACTATTGATCGACGTGTGCACATCTCTGTACATTGCGTTCAAAAAATTTATATGTCTGAGACTTATTTAATTGAAAATTATATCATCTACAAGAAACTTATCGTCCGAAATCTATTTATTGTTCGTAATTATTCGTCTATTAATTTGCCAGTTATGTTAAAAATTCATTGAAGTGTTAAGAATCGCACATAGCGTTCGCCCTTCAATCATTGATGCGACACCTATATAGGTTTGACGTCGGCTTTTCGCGACAATCGGCCATTTCCGCTCGGGTCGACAAAAGGAAGAAAAGAAAACCAGTATTAAAGACAGAATTCACGGAACCTAGCGAGAAGTCGCATTCAAAACTTTTCTTTTAACATGTGTCCAGCAACCACATATATTTGAAACAGCAAATCTTTGTCGGTTTTACGTGAATGGATTAGTTTATGCAAATAAAAACGTGACGACATAAAGTCACGACGAAAGTACCTTTATCTTCCAGTCTTTACACTTATTTTGTATTTTTTTTTTATTTTAGCAAGAGGGATAAATATTAAGCAATAATAACATTTTAATAAACACATATCGACGGCTAAAATGTTTAAAACCAACATATCTTCTCTTAAACTTATCTATTGCATCAATATTACACGACTTAGTCGTACGCGATATCCGAGTTTCAGAATTACTAAAGTATAGATCCATTTATCAAGTTTTATCATGTATACACAAGTTTTATGGATTATCGCGAGTTAACAACTTTCTTTCCGTTTTATATGCGTCCTCATACTTTTCATCATACTTTCCTCCTGAGATCTTTTTAGTTTTAAAAAGCTGGATTTTAAAATTGATATACCAATGACAACACGGCACCCAGCAACGACACATATATTCACACACGGCTTATCGATCTCACAGCGTATCCTTCACGTCTTCTCTCTCTCTCTCTCTCTCTCTCTCTCTCTCTCTCTCTCTCTCTCGACGAATACAACAACAACCTTCCATAGATTTAGGAACGCAGATAAATCTCCGAAACGACAGGAAGGGCACCTACAGCGGGGTGTCCTCGCTATTGAGCCGATCTTCAGGGCCGTACCCATCGATCCATTCAGATCCACGAGAGCATATCGGTGGCGCGGATTCGTAAAGCGAGTACGCTAAGAGAGAAGGATAGTCAGACGGTTGATGTGCCCAGCGCGAGAGGGAGAGATCGCGCGGAGGAGAGGAGGCAAGTGCGCACCGGCAGCAGCAAGGACCAGGTGCATCCTCGGGAGCCTGGGAAGCGCAAACTACGGCGAATGAAACGCCGGCAGATGCTACCAAGCCGCGAGAGAGCGAACGAGCGAGCCCTCCGCATCTCCCGTCTATATGCACAAGCCGCATTCCGTCTACGTCGCCGACTTTGTTTGCTCACGAGTGCGTCGCGCCGGTGCATTCGAGCACCGGGATTCACTCCTCTCGAATGCTGGCCGATCACGGGGAATCCCGATCGATCGTAGATCGTCAAATACTTTCTCCTGTCCTTGAGTTATCCGAGTAATCCGAGTTGTCTTACGAATGTTGTCCTTGAATTATCTTTGAATCGGGAGATCTTAACAAAATTGTATTGTGAAACTTTTACGTTAATCAACAAATTACGAATATTAACGAGAAATTTTAAATGAGGAGCGACGAGTCGCGAAATTATGAATTTCCACCTTGGGCAACAATATTATATCGAAATTACATTTTAAGTTATATCCGCAAAGATTTTTATTTAGCTTATTAAAAAACATCATAATATAAAGATTTTACTTCAGAGCGTTCAGAGTATGTGGGCTCAATTGCGAATGATCTGAGAAGGAGAGAGAGCGCCTTGCAAACTTGACGTGTGAGATACACTCGTGCGTCTCGAGATCTCAGCAAAATTGTGTTTTCAGGCTTCCACACGTCTAGAATATTAAGAAGAAGTTTCAAATGAAGAGCAAAAAACCGCGAAATTTTGATCTTGGGGGACAATATTATTATTTCGAAGTTAAAATCTAAAGTCATATTCGCGAAGATCTTCACTCACCTTATCAAGGCAAAAAGTGTCGAGGTATGAAGTTTCAAGTTCAGAACGCCCAGAGTATGTAGATTTGGTTGCGAAATTTGGGATTTTGACTTTGGAGAATAATATTATCTCAAGGTTAAAATTTCAAGTTATATTTGCGAAGATTCTCACCCATCTTATCAAGATAAGAAGTATCAAAATAGTGAATGAAGTCTCAACTCCAGAGCGCCTCTGTATATGAATTCAGTTGCGCATTTAACGTTCTAAGACGAGAGGTCGAATTAATGCGGAATGTCGAATTAACTCGTGTTAAATTAACTTTCATTTTTCACACGTTCAACTACGTGGAAGCAGGAAGGAGAAATCGTTATGCAAATTTGACATGTGGGATATATTCGTGCGTCTCGAGACGCGAATCTCGCGCGAAAGGTGTCAGGTACGTTCTGTATCGATTACAATGATTTTCCGAGAAGTCACGGAGTAATAG